AGAGGACAGAGGCTGAGTTATAAACCTTTGCTGATAAAGATGAGATCAGGGGATAAGATCAGCTTCACCTGTAAGTATCAGCCAATCACGATCCCCCGAAGGAAGTTGGGGCCAATAAATGTGTCCTATATTATACATGCATATAGGATATAATGTGAACAGCACTGTCAGAGATGCAATAAGTTTATAGCAGGTATGCGAATGATTTCATCGTCTGACTGCTGATTGCAGCAATCTACATTAACAGAAATAGAGGGCCCCAAAACCAAATTTCGCTTAGGGCCCCATGGATTCTTGGGCCGACCCTAGCCCTGGGACTCCATATGAGTCACTAAGACATTCCTGGATCAGATAATAAGAGCCAGTTGTCGTCAGTCTGGTTGAATCACAGAAGATGGAGGAATGGCTCACTCAGTATAGACTTTAGAATCTAGACAAGTTTTCTTCATAACCAGCTGAATAGATTCTCTATGAATCTGCAGAGATGGACTGATGGTTAGGTGTTAACCTCTGAGTACGGAGTTAGTTGGGAGGGGTATAGCCCTTCAGATAATAGATCTGGTAACGTCTCAGAGAAAGGAATTAGAGTGGAGGGCTTATCATTCAATGATAATACCCAGAACTTGTTGGAGGAAGGATAGAACCCTTCTGGTCTGAGAACACCTTCAGATCTTGCAAGGTTTACAACCCAAATGGTACCAAGGATCCATTTGGATCTGCTGTAGTCCATTACAGCAGAAATCTGGATAAGTCATGGGACCACTGAGGCGCGTGTGTGTGGTGACTTCAGTTTGTGGATACCTGCACATCTTCTGGCGCAGCCATCTTAAGTTCTCCATCTGTGTTCTTGGTGTTTGTGGTGAAATCACTGAAAGTAAATGCATCAACTTCTCTCTCAATCAGAGACTATCCAAAAGTAGATGGGAAAATCTACAGTTATGTTGACGCTGTCCTGCTTCTGAAGTAAAGTGAAACTTATTTACTGGTCTGTCTTCATTCCTACAATAACTTTGAGATACAGATAAGTCCAAAATTATTCATACCCCTGAATATAATCATTTACATTTCTGAAAGGAAATAAGAGGCGTTTCTAAAAAAATTTAAATGATCAATTTTGATTTTAAAAAGTCTGTTTATTTAAAATCATTTATACCCTTATCCTCAACAATCAGTGGACGAATATTTATTGGAATTACAGCTATGAAGCCCTTATAACTGCTGAGCTGCTTTTATCACGTTTCTTTGGTGGTAAACTTTAGCTTCCTTCACTGATTCACGCTCAGAATTCAGTCACAAATTTAAAAACAATAGTTTCAGTTAGAAGAAACTTCTTATGGGGCCCAAAAGCGTGGGCCCCATAAGAAGTGCTGTTTTTGGTAAGATTTAGGGTTCTTCTGTTTATAAAAACATTCTTCAAGGATTTTATGATGGATGCTTTACATGAAAAGTAGTTTCATGCCACTTACTCACTTGTCGAAGTTGATGTACAACAAAAATATGTCAGATAACCGACATGTTTACCATTAAAAAAGACAGAAGCATCATATTCATGTTAATGTGCATTTATTAATTTAGGTTATAGCTTTGCTGTTTAAAGTACAGGAAGAAAAGAATTACATTTGAAAGGATAAAAACCAGTGCAATTAATTTGTATCATGATTTAGCACTTTATATGAATGTTTTTTTTTATTTTCCCCTAATTTCCATCAACAAGTTATGTAAATATTTAAATGATTCTTCTGAGATAGATTAGTTTCATGACGCTAATAAAGACATCAAAAAGTTGAGATGAAGCATTTTTTCTACATGTGTATAAATACTAGAGCTAATAGTGATAATAACTATAGGCTGTATGAAAGCATTGCCTAAGTTATTGCAGAAGTGGGGCTCTTAGGCTGGTTGTAGGATTATTTGTAGAGCAGCTGTGAGCAGAGCGGTCAGGAGAACAGAGGCTGGTGATTTTGTGAACTCCAGGACACCACTGGTGGTTGCAGCTGTAAATCAGACAAACACAGTCCATTTACAATGTTCCTGATTTAAACTACTGCTGAATATTTGGAAATGATTTCATGTAAGTAAAGTATGCTCACATTGGGATGGTATTGCTGTACTGGCTGGGGTTGTATTTGAACTGTTTGTGTTTCCTAAAACAAAGAATTAAGTTTGTTAGACTGTGGCACCCCCTAGTGGCCGTAAACAGCAAAACTACAGCAGTAGACCTTTGACACCACACTATGAACGCGTTACTGCACTAACTGACAACGACACTTAAATGAAACAAGACGGTTCATTAGAATTATTATTTAATCATATAAGATCCATAAGATGTCTAATTTTTCCTTTAGCTCACAAAGGTCCAACAGGTACAAATGAAAACACACTGCTGATGACGAAATATTTTTTTCATTTTAGGCAGTAGTTCATGTGAATTTCAGATGGAAACACACCATCACCCACATTGTTTTTGACTCCAACCTGGACCATTTTAAAGAGAAAGGTGATAGTTTTACCCTGTGGCTCAGTGCTGTTTGTAGCGGTCGGTACTGTTGGGTCTGCTCTAGTGGTGATTAGACCCAAACCTAGTGTGTCCAGGTCAGACTGTAGCTGTAGGTTCACCCATCTCTGAACCACAGTATCATTCTCAAACAGCTTGAGATCTCGTAGGTTTTCACCCATCAGACCTTGGACGTTGGCCACAGTCAGGTTCTGTCGGAAAAGACAAACACAGGAAGATTTCTTCGAGGATCTTTAATTTTCAGCACCACATAGTTACTGTAAGTAGGTTGAGGCTTGTTTTGTAGCTTTGGCCACTAAAATGACTTTCCATCCACAGAAACTTCTCACACAGACAGTTTTCTGGTATAGTTTGTTTCACATGTAAACTTACAGTTATCACGTTGATATCCAGACTCCTGAAAGTGTCGACATCCATGCTGATGTTCTGTCTTGATAAAGCTGCAATGTCTGCTTGAGGTGCTCCACCTACCGACCAGCAATGGGAAGGTTACCTTACTGAAGGGTCCTTAGTTGGATAGTTAGGCAGGTACCAGGCATGCTCACCTAGATAGCCTTTAACCAGGTTGTAATAGTTAATCGGATTATCNTATATATATATATTCATTATATATATATGTGTCATATTTTATATGTACAGCATTTTTATAACAGTTGAAGTTAGAGTTTCTGCCTCTTCCATTCCAGTTTGGATGTGAAGACTACCGTATTTTTTGGACTAGAAGTTGCTACTTTTTTTCTAAGCTTTGAATCATGCAACTTATAGTCCAGTGCAGCTTTTCTGTGAATTTTTCTTCAACCACCAGGGGGCTATTTAGCAGGAAGTGAATCATTGGAAGTCAAAATTGGAAATCAAAGAAGAAAGTGCAGATTTTTATTTAGGACAAGCACATGCTAGCAGCAGGCACGATGGGGAAATGTTTTCAAACTCATACCCCCTCATCATGGAAACCACATGAAGGAAAAGATGACTCTTTTAAGTTGAAACCTATCAATCTGGTAGTACAGGAGGGAAATAGAGCTGCTGCACGTAAGCTCGGTGTGAACGAAACCATGGTTCGGCTTTGGAGATGCAGGGCTGTGTCCTTAATATATCCAGCAGATTTATTAGGATGCTCCCTTAGCTGCGTCCTTATGAAAACCGAGAGCTGTGGAGATACCAGCGGCTTATAGCCCGGTGCAGCTTATATATGTACGTTTACAGTTTCTTAAAAAAAAAATGTAGGTGCGGCTTACGGTAAGGTGCGGAAAATATGGTAGTCATAACTGAAGTGTTAATAAACTGTCAGAAGAGTGACTATGAATTATATATTTTTCTTTCTTTCCCTTCTCCTGAACATTGATTATTGGACTTATACCCTGGCACAGCAGATGGAGGATTGCGTCGTCATCTTAGGACATCGTTTGGTTTTTCCTCTTCACCTCAACTGGAAGCAGCGTCTGTATGAACTGAACTACTAAAGCTGGTACTGCTTTGTTTTATTTTCTCATAGCGTGCAACAGCCTTTACGTTTTGGGTCTCACCACAAGCAGGGCCAGATTAACACTTTGCTGGACCCTGAGCCCCATGATCATGCCCAGAAGATCACCGTAATCTGGCAAAATACAGAATAAAATACTGTAATAATACAGTAAATATACTCAATACTTTAGATTCAGTTTGGTATACAAATGACCAAAAACTTTTAGAACTACAAACACTCCTATGTCTTCCTGTCAGTGACACTCAGACAAATATGATGCTAGGAAAACAAACCGCATGTCAGTATCAGAATGATCTGGTAAAATTCACCCGCTACACTGAGAGGGTGTAGTGGTTGTTTATTTTATGAACAATAAACAACCAAACCATTGATGTTTACCTATCGCTGACCCCCAACAGAAATGTACTGAACTGATGGAGATATCTCAGAGGAAGTTCACAGAGATCAAGAAACATTTTAAACAGAAATTATCCGGTTGCCCCAGAATTTAACAGGACTATTAAGTTATTAGCCTTTTGATGCCAGTGTTCCCTCCACAACTATGAACAATTTACTGCATTTTCATGGCCACACAAGAAAAAAAAACACAATCAGGGTTCATTCACTTTTCACAAAGTAAATTTCAAGCATTTTTAAAACATTTTCAAGGTAAGTTTTCCAACTATTCCAGCGTCACACTTTGGAGATAAAAACAAAACCAATGAACTAAAAGAAAGACAATATCATTTATTACTGTTAGTAATTTATTTGAATGGTATTTTCCATTCTATGCCACATACAAACTATGACAACATTTTATGTTTTCAAATGTCTTTAAGACACACCTTACACAGCTGACCGGCCTGAGAACAAAACACTACTTTAGCAAAACAATCCCCCAATTTCAAATAGTTATAAGCCGAGCGTTATTTCAGTCACAGATATGTCATTGAGCCTTTAGGAATAATACATATTGGTTATATTGAACAAATACGAACAAATCTTTAGATAAATGACCTTCCTGCTCAAATTAAATGCTTAAACACAATTACAAAGTTACAGAAAATGTTCTTGATAAGTTTTCTGACATTAGGGAAACAGAAATCACTGTGGTAATTGTATCTGACCTAAATCAAGAAAAGTTTCCAAATTTAGGCTATTAATAAAACGTTTAATTTGTATTTTATTTAAAGAAACTGTGCAGTATGGATATCAAGCACTGTCAAGGACTTTATGCAGAAATCAAGCGCTTTCCAAGCCTTGAACGCACCTAAATGAAGGATTTCAAGCAAAATGAACATGTTGGTCCAAAACTCATTTAACCTGTTTCAAAACAGAAAGCACCCTCTCACCCTCACAGTTAGACACAGCAAAAGTAAGAACACAAACAATCAGTCATCACAGCCCCTCTCAAATTAAATCCCAAACAGGTCACACACGAACAAAGCCTGTCAGTGATGACATTATATATTTCAAAGGAAAATCTCTGACTGTTGTCAGAAAAAGCCACTTACTTTCAAGTAACCGATACTTGGCAGCTCGGTTCTGAAAAAGCTGGAGATCCTCGGTAGATCGACTCTTCCCAGAAACACTCTGCAGCGCAGAATCGCGAGCGGCTCAGGCGTCGGGGAGACCGGAGATCCGCCATCACCGCTTCCCTCAGCGGCCGCAGCAGCATCCGCGCCGTTGTGCTGCCAGTGTTCTGGCTATCTCCGCTACGCAGCAATATGTCCCACCTTGAGGCAACGCTCGCATCGATGTTACCTCACAGGTTGCTTACTCAGCAGATTTCTTATCAACTACGATAAGCTTAATTTATGTCATGACTGGGTTTCTTTAAGCTGCTCTGTTACTTCTTGTTTTAAGTTTACATGATTGGTGGCTTGTAAATACACTTATAAATGGCTTTAGTTTGTCGTCTGGCATGTTGTTACCATATTGTATACTGTAAACGAGAGTCACTGCTCGGCACTGACCACGTGAGTCAGGACAAAATATCTTGTTTTGTCCCTATACTGTAAAATATTTTAGTTTAATAATGCTTTGTTTATTAAACCATGCTAAATAGATGTTGATGGTGATATTGCATGTGACTGAAGCTGTGCATGTCTCTGGTTTCATGTTAGCATATTAAAAAGCATACCCAATCATGTCAGGTGCACAGTGACGTCTGCAGTTCGGTGGAGACATTTTGACTGCACTACATTGGATAAAGACTGCCATACAATGTATTGATGTGCAAAAAAGAGTTTGCATGGATCTGTATTTGTAGATTTTTGCGTTTAATTTAATTTCAATGAAAACTTGTTTCCCCTGTTTGAAACCGTTTCATTCTTACAAACATTTATGTTTAGAAATTGGTAGGATATTACAATGTTAAGACATGAACTGCTATACCTTTGTATTTAAAAAGAAGGCTGGAAATTCTGATTAAATAATTTAGTGCATCACCATGTACAGAGGTAAAATTTTCTAATCAGGGAATTTCCTAGATAAACATGTGCGACCTACCAGTGTGAAATGGGTAGGATATCCCGATGAAGGGTTTTGGTGCATCAATATGTGCTTCCTCCGTATTTTATAAAGATTTTCAAATGAAGGAATCTGGTGTTGCAAACTGTGCGTGTATTTACCAGGTTAGATGTCAAAATGTGCTCCCAGGTGTAGTTTATGGGGGTAAGATAGGTCAGAAAACTAAGGGTTCACATTTAACTTAAGGTTTGGTTGTTTTGCTTAATTTTAAAAGAATGTGTGAGTCTGTGCGAGTTGATCATGATGTGTATTGCAGAGGAATTAAGTGAAAGTTATGTGTGTTAGAGGATATGTTGGATTTAAGGATGAGCTATTGAAAAAGTTAACATTTATTAGTCTTTATTGCTACATAAGTAAATCTAGAAGGCTCTTACCAAGTACAGAAGGTAAAGATGGGCAACATCAATGTTCCAGTTGTTTCTAATCTGGTGAGGTTTCAGTTGTGATTTAAATGAACTCAGTGTGTCCGTAGTTTTACAGTTTTCTTGAAGTTTATTCCAGATTGAGGAGCATAAAACTGAATGAAAGAAATATCTGTTTCATTCAGACATACTTCTGAAACAGTTCAGAAAAATATTCCTCTACGACGTTCACAGCTAAGATGGAAGATTTACATGGAACTTGTATCATTCGATTGTTGAAGTTGATGTAAGATGAAACCATGTCACATGCTTGAGGTTTTGCAGGATGTTTGCAATTAGAAAGACACTCTTAGCATTTGTATTAATATATAGTTATTTATTTAGATATTGTTTAAAGTACAGGAAGAAAAGAATTACATTTGAAAGGATAAAAACCAGTGCAATTAATTTGTATCATGATTTAGCACTTTATATGAATGTTTTTTTTTATTTTCCCCTAATTTCCATCAACAAGTTATGTAAATATTTAAATGATTCTTCTGAGATAGATTAGTTTCATGACGCTAATAAAGACATCAAAAAGTTGAGATGAAGCATTTTTTCTACATGTGTATAAATACTAGAGCTAATAGTGATAATAACTATAGGCTGTATGAAAGCATTGCCTAAGTTATTGCAGAAGTGGGGCTCTTAGGCTGGTTGTAGGATTATTTGTAGAGCAGCTGTGAGCAGAGCGGTCAGGAGAACAGAGGCTGGTGATTTTGTGAACTCCAGGACACCACTGGTGGTTGCAGCTGTAAATCAGACAAACACAGTCCATTTACAATGTTCCTGATTTAAACTACTGCTGAATATTTGGAAATGATTTCATGTAAGTAAAGTATGCTCACATTGGGATGGTATTGCTGTACTGGCTGGGGTTGTATTTGAACTGTTTGTGTTTCCTAAAACAAAGAATTAAGTTTGTTAGACTGTGGCACCCCCTAGTGGCCGTAAACAGCAAAACTACAGCAGTAGACCTTTGACACCACACTATGAACGCGTTACTGCACTAACTGACAACGACACTTAAATGAAACAAGACGGTTCATTAGAATTATTATTTAATCATATAAGATCCATAAGATGTCTAATTTTTCCTTTAGCTCACAAAGGTCCAACAGGTACAAATGAAAACACACTGCTGATGACGAAATATTTTTTTCATTTTAGGCAGTAGTTCATGTGAATTTCAGATGGAA